CCCCCCCCCCCACTAGCTGGATTGCAGAGTGAAGTTTATGATCATGAAATAAAAGTGAAACAACAACAAAGAGCAGATTGGAGGGTGTGTGTAGAGAAGTTGTCATTCATTCCTGGAGTCCCCACTGTGCTCAGGCATCCCGCTAAGCAGTGGAAAACAGAAACCTGTCCTCAAGGAGCTCTAGTGTGGGAGGTGGAAGTGGAGGGGAGGCTAAAACAAACACAGGAAATGTGTATTATTCCACAAGAGTGTTAAGTCCCAGAAAGTAGAAATCTCAGTCCTGTTTGTCACTGTATCCTCGGTACCTAGAACAATGCAGGCACGAATCTGGGGCTCAATAAATGCATGCTGAATGAAGAAACGCTGCCGTGGAGATACGGAATAATAGCAATGTTGACAGTTACCATTTACTAACCACATACTTGTGCTAGAAAACGTGCTCAGATACATAATCTTATTGGACCTCCAGCATTTGGAGAGTGCTGGAGTTATCTCATTTTACAGATCTGAGAACCAAGGCTTCACAGAAATGACGCCTGCCTCCAGGTTACGTAGCCCGTGAGCGGCAGACACCGAATTCACGACTGCAGAACCCCACAGGCTGCCTTGTCCAGAACGCTGTTTGGGGGCGTCTGTCTGGCAGCTGATGGAAAAGTGCAGGGAGAGACCCGAGACAGGGCGGCCACCGCAAGGACACAGCGAACAGTAAGGCGCACGAGCCGAAGCGGTCGCGGTGGCGCCGGCGAAGAAAGGATTGCTGTTCTAGCACCTCGAAGCTCGGGGCTTGGCGACTTCCTGGATGCAGGACCTCGTTTGTCGCCTGGAAGTAGAAAGGATGCCGGTAGCCCCTAGAGAAAGAGCTTTCCCCTGGCTCCTAGCTCGCCGGTGCGCCGACCCCGCCTCCAGCACTGCGGGGTCCGCAGGGCACTGGCCGCCGCGGCCCCTGGAGGTACCGCAGCCCGGCTCGCGTTCCGGGCGCTCGCGGGGGCCGCAGAGCCGGGGGCGGGGCCTGGCCGCGAACTACAATTCCCAGGGGGCATCGCGCGGAACACCGCCGTTTTCGGCTGAGCTCACTTCCGGCCTCCGGGCTGCTGACTCTCTCTTCCGGTCTTGGTGGCCCCCCGAGAGGCCCGTGGGGTGCGCACGGTGAGCGCCGAGCCCTGGGGGGCGCGGAGGCGTGGGTGGCGGCGGCCGGGCGCTCGGTCACGGCGGGCACGGGAGAGGCGCGCCGGCGGGAGACGTGGCTTCCTGGCGACAGGGGGCGCACCGAGCGGGCCGGGCCGGAGGGACCCC